AACTGTTTTGCAAAGGTGATAAGCACTCTGCTGATTTATTCTTTGCAAGAGTTACTATGTTTTCACTCAACCAGTGGATGGTTTTATTGCACTGTTTACAAAGTCACGTTGTAGGAAGCTTTGTTCTAGGGATGGAACCCAGGGCCTTCACAGTGAGCTACATCTCCAGCCCATTTTTGAAGTTGGGATTCTCCTGCCTCAGCCTCCCAGAGTGCTGGGGTCACAGATGTGTGCCACCTTGCCTGGCTGCACATAGGCCTTCGGATGGCCAGCATTCCTTCCCCCTGACCTGAAAGGAGAGTCGGGGAAGGGCAGTACCCATTTCAAGGCTGCAGGATGACTCCTCCTGAGGCTCCGAGGAGAACTCTGGTCCCGATCCTGGCTCCGGCAGCCCCGACCTTCTCCATTTGCAGACCCAGCACTGTGATGGCGCCTATAGCCTCTCTCTGCCTCTCACCTCCATGCCCTCTCAGGGGGATCCGGAGGGACCCTGGCCCTAGTGGTCAGGATGACCCTCACCCTGGGTCCTCCGTGTGACCCGTCTGTAGAGCCCCTTCTGCCATGGAGGTGACGTGGCCACAGGCACTGGGGCTTTGGACATGGATGTCTTTGGGGGCCATTAATCAGCCAGCCACAGGCTGCAAGCAAAGTTCCATTTCCAGGAAGTGGTCGGTCAGGGTGGGGGAGACCCTTCACGGGGCCAGCCAGTTTCTGAGCTCTCCGGTTCCCAGGCAGCCCAGCCGGGGGGCCATCTTGGGCCAAGCATGAAGATGGTTCTCCTTGTCCTCCTCCTCCTCCAGTCCCGCTGGGGTCAGGCGGGGACAGCAAGGTGCTGGCGTGTGGCCACTGCGAGGCCACTGAGCACTGAGCTCCAGGGTCGCCTCCACCGGCTCCTCCAGGCTCCCTTGCTCAATGGATCCTGGTCATTGATACCAGCTCCTGGCGCTCTCTGCGCGGAGACTTGAGGGTGGAAAGGGTCCAGGTGTGTCCCATGGTGTGGGGTCTGTCCTGCCCCACCTCTCTGTCACCTCCCGCCAGCTCTCCTTGTGTTTCAGACCCTGGCACGTGTCACTCGCCCTCCTAATTATTTTCTTCTCTTTTTGGTTGTGGCAACAGGCACATAACATAAAATCTCGTCATCTTAGCCATCATTTTACTGCTTTATTTCGTGACAGGGTCTTGGTCAGTCACTAAGTTGCGCAGGCTGACTTCGAACTTGTGATCCTCCTGCCTCAGCCTCTTAAATGCTGAGCTGAATCATGCAACTTTTATAAATGTTTTGTGTGCCCTTGAAAAGGGAAGTTTAGGGCTGGAGATGTACACCAGTGGTACTGTGCCTGCCCGGCAAGCACAAAGTCCTGAGTTTGAACACCACACACACACACACACAAAAAGTTTACCCTCCAATACAGGGGATAAATACCTCTATTAGTGTCAAATTTTGCTGATTGACTGTTATGAGTGTAGAGAACTTTTTCACTTTTTTTTCTTTTTTAATGCTTTACAAGAGACCACATAAAACACCTGATTTTTTTAAACAATGTAATGTGATGTCTTTTAACTTTTAAGTTTAGTTTACTATATTTTTACCTTTTCTTTTTCTTTTTTCTTTGCTTTTTCTCCTTTTTCTTGCTTATTTATTTTTTCCTTATTTTACTCATCTTGGAGAAGGTATTTATTTTGCTTCTATTTTTTAGATTTCCCTTAAAAGTTTGTCATTCAGCTGGATGTGGCGGCATATGCCTGTGATCTCAGCACTCAAGAGGCTGAAGCAGGAAGATTGCCATGAGTTTGAGGCCAGCCTGGGCTTCATAGTGAGTTTAAAACCAGCCTAGACTGTATAGTGAGACCTTGTCTCAAAAACAAAAACAAATGCGCCTATAATCCCAGCACTTGGGAGGCTGAGGCAGGAGGATCGCTGTGAGTTCCAGCCCAGCCTGGGCTACATAGTGAGTTCCAGGTCAGTCTCAACTACCTAGTGAGACCCTATCTCAAAAAACAAAAAGAAAACAAAAACAAAAACAAAAGCTGGGCATGGTGGTGTACACCTGTAATCATAGCACTCAGGAGGCTGAGGCAGGAGGATGGCTGTGAGTTCAAGATCAGCCTTGGCTACACAGTGAGTTCCAGGGCAGTCTGAGCTCCACAATGAGACCCTGTCTCAAAAACAACAACAACAAACGAAAAACAATTGGCATTAAGTTTTTTTTTTGTTGTTTTGTTTTGTTTTGTTTTTTGAGACAGGGTCTCACTATGCAGTGAGACTGACCTGGAACTCACTATGTAGCCCAGGCTGGTCTCGAACTCACAGCAATCCTCCTGCCTCAGCCTCCCGAGTGCTGGGATTACAGGTGTGCACCACCACGCCTGGCCTATCATTAAGATTTCACCACAATCTATAATTAACAATCTCTCCTCTCCAGTGTGTATGCCCAGGATGGAACTCAGGGAGTTGCACATACTTGGCAAGTACACACCACTGAGCTACAGCCCTAGTCATTTTTTAAAAATAATTCTGGGCTCGATGACACACACCTGTAATCCCAGCACTGTGAGAGGCTAAGGCAGAAGGTCCCAAATTCAAACCTGTCCTGGGAAAATTAGTGATTTAACAAGATTCTCTCTTAAAATAAAAAATTAAAGGGCTGGGGGGTGAATCCCAGTGGCCCAACCCTGGGTGTGGTCTCCAGTACTTAAAAAAAGAAATTGACACAGGATCTTGCTCAGCTGCCCAGGTGGCACTTGAACTCTCTCCTGCCTGAGCCTCCGGATCGCTGGGTTTATAGGCTTGTGCCACTGTGCCCAGCTGAACCTTAGTTTTTTAACTGCAATCCTGTGCTACGTCTTGTTTGCTACTTCAACCTTAGTGTTAATATCCTCTAAAGTGATCGTTGTTTTTTTTGATACCGGGAATCAAACTCATGTCCTTGCACTTGCAAGGCAGGCGGCAGAACCACTGAGCTAAATCCCTGGCCTTAGTGATCATGGTTCTACAAACAAATTGCTTATTCGGACATACCTACACGATTATAATTTCTGCACAATGTTATATCTCCTACATCTCATATTTCTTTCTTCTGAATTCAATTTTATTCTTCCCTAAATACATCCTTTAGTAGCTTTTTCAGTGAACGTTAATTTGCATAACTTTTTCAGTCCTGGACATACCTGTATTTTGTGGGTAAAAGTATAGAATTATTAACTTTCAGCAATTTTCTTTCAGCTTCTTGAGAATATTATTCCCTTCTCTTCGGTCCCTTTGGTTTCTAATAAGAAATCTGCTGTGATTTTTAATCAGCATTCTTTTGTGGATAACCTGTGCTTACTTTCTAGTTACTTCTACAGTCTTCTCTTTGGTTTTGTTGTTGTTCTTTGCTTCATTTCTGTAGACTTAAAGAGAGGATTTGTTTTTATTTTTATTGTTTAGGTTTCTGTTTTTTTCAGATCTGAAGATTCATATCATTCGACAAGGCTGGAAAATTTCTCAGCTGATCTTTGTCTTTTCCGGAGGGAGAACCCATGGTCTCTACACTGAGCTAATTCCCAGCTCTTTTTTTTATTTTGAAACAGAGCCTCAATAAACTCCTAAATTACCCAGGCTAAGCTAGAACTTGTGATCCTTATGCCAAGGATTTAGCTCAGCGGTACTGAGCCTGCCTTGCAAGCACAAGATCATGAGCTTGATCCCCAGTCCCCCTTCCCCCAAAAAGAATTTATGATCCTTCTGCTTCGGCCTCCCAGAGTGCTGGAGCTAATTTCTCTTAATCTTGCCCTCTCTCCGACTTTCTCTGCTCTCTCTTAGAACTCATGAGATAAAGCGGGGCCTCTCATTCAGGCTGTGTCCCGTGTCTATTCCGTCTCTTCCAGTTCTTCTGCCTCTGTATGTTGCTGACTCTGCGTAATAGATCCCCAGAGTTATTAGTTCTTTCTCTATTTGTGTTCAGTCTCTTGTTTAGCCCATAGATCGACAATTTACGTTGATTAATATAGTTTTCATTTCTAGATCTTGTTTTTTTTCCTGCTTGTTTTTTCATGGTGCCATTCTGAATATTTTCAATTACTTCATTACTTTGTGTTTATAAGAACTTTAACCACACTTGCTGGGCGTGCTGGCACACGCCTGTAATCCCAGCACTCGGGAGGCTGAGGCAGGAGGATCGCTGTGAGTTCAAGACCAGCTTGGGCTACACAGTGAGACTCTGTTTCAAAAAACAAACAAACAAAACATCCAAGCCCTTTTCCCAGACTCAAAGTCCCCCGGCTCCCTTCCGGTAGGGAATCCTTGTAACAGTGAGGTTTCAATGTGGTCAGGTGTCAGCCCCGTGTTACAGCTGCCTGCTCAGGGCTGTGTCTCCCGCACTGTGCAGCCAGAGACAGAGAAGTTGAGCGGGGCCCTGGATGAATGGAGCATCTATACTCGAACTCAATGGCAGCAGGGTCCTTTCTGTGACTAATGACAGTGATGACAAGATGCTTTCGAGCCCTGCGGGGTGTGGGTCGTGAGGCTGGGCTCAATGTGTGCAGTGTGTGCTGGGCACTGGGAACTCGAACGCGGAACCACAGGGCCGGCCCGAGGCCCCGAGTGGGGCTCAGCTTCTTTTGTCCTTGACATTTTTCACCGGGGGGTTCTTAGGCATCCTCTGGCTCCTCCAAAGGTGACTCCCCTCTGAGGTAGAGAAGTAAAGAGGTGAAAAAGGGCGGGGATGGCCGGGCTCCCGACACCCCTGCCAGAGTGACAAACGCACAGCTTGCTCGGATGTGTTTGCATTTCATTTTTAAATTATTTTGGTTTTGTCTTTTTTGTTTGTTTGTTTTTTTGAGACAAGGTAGTGCTATGCTGGCCACGCTGGCCTCAGACTGGCGGGAATCCTCCTGCCTCAGCCTCCTGAGTGTTGGGATGACAGGTGTGAGCTACCACTTTTGGCTGTGGAATCCATTTTTCTAGCAGCGTCAGAGCCCTGAGCTCGGACCCTATCTGTCCCTCGTCTGTTGGCATCTAGGTCACCGTCCTTGTGTCTCGGAGCCATGCAGCCCACGACGGCTGACTTGCAGCTCGTCCCCAGGGCCACAAAGCCAGTCCCAGCCGCAGACTCGGTGTGCTGTCGCGGGGCTGTCACCGCAGTGGTGGCCTCCAGCACAATCGTCCTTGCCCTGGGAGTCCTTTTGGGTAAGTGGCTGCGTGATCCGCTGGGTGCACAAGGTCAGGGCATTGAGGCAAGGACCCTCACCTGGCTCGGTGGTGTCCCCGTTGTCCCAGAATCAAAGATGGGGCTCTGGGTTCTTTCTCTGGCCCCAAAGACAACCAATTAATTAGACTGAAATTTCTCCAGGAAAATGATTTATGGAAAATAAGTTACATAGGCAGAATAATGCAGCTGGACAGTTTTGCTTTCCTGTTATTCTGGACCCTTTCCCTGCCCACCTTTTTGGAGCACTGGGGCCCAAACCCAGTTCTCTGCTGTTTGTAAACTTACTGAGTAGATCTGTCTACTTAAATATGAAAGCCCGTCTTTTTTTTTTTTTTTTTGGTACCAGGGATCAAATTCGAGTCCTTGTGCTTGCAAGGCAGGCGGTGGAACCACTGAGCTAAAACCCCGGCCCTTGAAAGCATGTCTTTTATTTATATTTATACATTGTACCGAAGCTTCAGAATCCTGTGTATTTATTTATTGAGACAGGGTCTTGCTATGTAGTTCAGGCTGGCTTCAAGAGATCCTCCTGCTTCAGCCTCCTGAGTGCTGGGATTACAGGTGTGGGCCACCACACCCCACTTGTGTGTTTCACCTTATATAATGTGGGGGCAGTGGTACCAAGAAAACCCCAAAAAGCCAGAAAAGAGGGCTGGGTGTGGCTCAGTGGTGAGTGCTTATTTAGCCTGTGTGAGGCCCTGGATTCCATTCCCCATACCACAAAAATATATAAAAAATAAACAGGGAAAATAAATGTGAAATTTGTCCACTTGTGGCTTATAGGTGTGGGTGGTGGGAATATAAATGACTGCTCTTTTTTCTTTTCTTTTTCTTTTTTTCCTTATCAGCGTGGAACCCAGGGCCTTCACACCGAACTGTATATCCTAGCCCATTTTTAAAATATTTTGAATATTTGAGACAAGGTGTCCCTAAGTCACTAAGCTGTGATCCTCATGCCTCAGGCTCCCAGAGTGCTGGACGACAGGTGCGCACCCCTGGGTCTTGATCTTAGATTGTTATATTTAAGCAGTTTTTGTCAGAAGTTTCTGGATCATCTGGAAGCCAGACACATTTGACCGAGGCCCTCTAGTGGCAGTGTGTGTGAAATACAAGGGTGGGCACGTGAGTGTGTCTGTACTATGGGGGAGGGGCTGTTTCCACACTTCTAGAAGCACCTTCCGGAAACACATTCTAGAAGCACAGCAGTTTGGGAGCAACAGGTAAATATAACCCCAACAGGCCCTCTCTAAAGCCACAGAGAGGCATTAGACAGCGGTTGAAATTTTTAAAATATTTCTGCCAGGTATTGTGGCAAACACCTGTCACCCCCTCTACTTCAGACGCTGAGGCAGGAGGGTCTCAAGTTCGAGCTCACACTGGGCAATTTAGCGACGTAGCGAGGCTCTGTCTTAAAATAAAAAATACAGCCAGGTGTGGCGGGGCATTCTTGTAATCCCAGTATTCGTGAGGCTGAGGCAGGAGGATGGCTGTGAGTTCAAGGCCAGCCCGAACTATATATAGCAAGACCGGGTCTCAAATAACCAAAAAAAAAAAAAAAA